TTCATATTGTATAACAAAAAACAAATGTTAAAAATCATTAATTAATATATAATTAGCTGGATAGCAATAATTCTTCCCTAGATTAATCACGAAAATTATTTTTAATAAATAAAGAAAACTTATTTTCCATCAAAATGGATTTCCGATTAAAAGACTGTTTTATGTGCCTAAACCAATATACAGTTTACAAAAACTTACAAATTACAAAATACTAAATAAAATAATAATAAAAACTTACCGTGATTCATGAAATTGCACTCATAACTTTATTTTATCATGATCAATCATAAAAACACCGTTGCTAAAGTTCTAACATTCCTATTTTTGTAACAAATTAAAGTTAAGACATGGCACAATAATATGGTCCACTGAATCAAATATTTCAAGCACTAGCTTTTTTTATTCAAAATATAATTAAAACTGTTAATTGGTTTCGTCGTGCCGTATTAATAAATATAACGTCTCTTATGCGATTATACTTTATTCGTTCCGATTTGACATTATTAGTCGATATGCTATCTCCAGCAAATGGTTCGATAAGAACGGACAGCGGTTTTCATAAAAGTAATATATATTCCTATTAATAAAATATATTGTTTCCTGTAATGTTATTAACAAAAGGATATTGCTGGTATAAGTGAATAATCTCCGCATAAGTATGGTTTAGAAGGTAAATATTTCAAAGTACTTATGAGGACGTCTGCATACAGTGCCGGTCAGACACTTTTACCCCCCCACGGGCAAAATCAGTCTAACTTCAAAGTTTTATATCTCTGGTAGAAATTAACGTACAGAGACGCGCGTGGGTGCGTTTGAAAGGTCTTTCGGAGAGCTTTCAAATGATATGACTCACGGTTGCCATCGATTGTTTTTTTAAATTTTGCAACAATTATGCAAAATTGAAAATTCTGAAATTTTTTTATTATTTTTGACAATTAGCCAATTTTGGAAAAAAAATTGTACGAAAATTTGAAGTACACCATTTTTTAGCTATTACCAAGCCCTATCTGAATCACTCATCAAAAATTTATTTTCGTCAAATATAACGCGCGCACGGGCATTTTTTCCTGGAAGTGACAGTTTTTTTCAACATTTTATATCTCCGTCAAATTGTAACAATCGAAAAAAATTTTATAGGAGAAAAAATGTTTGTTTTTTCACGTAGAATACTGCAATAATTTTTTTTCGGTTTTTCGAAAAATTTTTTTTTTCGGTTTTTTTCAATTTTTTTTTCTCACAGTCGGTACGCTAAAAAGATGAGAAACCACAAAAAAAAATTTTTTTCCACCCATTCAATAATACTACATAACAAGTATCGTAAATTACATAAAAAAAAAATCTTTTTTTTTTCGACCTTGAAAAATAATTTAAACCGAAAAAAAAATTTTTCGAAAAACCGAAAAAAAATTATTGCAGTATTCTACGTGAAAAAACAAACATTTTTTCTCCTATAAATTTTTTTCGATTGTTACAATTTGACGGAGATAAAAAATGTTGAAAAAAACTGTCACTTCCAGGAAAAAATGCCCGTGCGCGCGTCATATTTGACGAAAATAAATTTTTGATGAGTGATTCAGATAGGGCTTGGTAATAGCTAAAAAATGGTGTACTTCAAATTTTCGTACGATTTTTTTTCCAAAATTGGTTAATTGTCAAAAATAATAAAAAAATTTCAGAATTTTCAATTTTGCATAATTGTTGCAAAATTTAAAAAAACAATCGATGGCAACCGTGAGTCATATCATTTGAAAGCTCTCCGAAAGACCTTTCAAACGCATCCACGCGCGTCTCTGTACGTTAATTTCTATCAGAGATATAAAACTTTGAAGTTAGACTGATTTTGCCCGTGGGGGGGTAAAAGTGGCTGACCGGCACTGTAAGTTGGTGTCATGTCTGCATAAGTCGGTATCTAGTCTGCATAAGTTGATGTCATGTTTGCATAAGTTTTTTCCGACTTATGAAGACAATCATACATTATATATTTGACTTATGCAGACATGTCTATATACACTGCCGCTCACATAAATTTGGCCACCCCATCAAAAATCTGGCAAACTTTGAAGTTTTGTACCTCTATAAGGAATCAATCGATCTAAAAAATTAAAAGTACGTTTTGAAGCTTGTACCAAGCCCTTCAATATATGATGAAAATATTTAAAAAATAATGTTCAATTAATTTTTTATAAACAAATGAAAAAAAAAAAATTTTCAATTTTTTTCGTCCATATTCAAATTGGCATAACTTTGTTAAAAATAATCGGATTAAAAAAAAACAAAATGGAGGTTAAAGCTATGGTACTCCTCTTTAAAATGGGCTGTGCAGAATTTCGGTTCATTTATTTTTTAGGGAATTTTTTAATTTGATGTAAAAAAAATAAAATTTTTTTCAACAGCTCATAACTCAAAAACTATGAGTCAAACTAAAAAAATCATAAGAGCAAAAATTATGCGTTTTTACTCAACGAATACGAATTCAACGTAAAAAATTCAAATTTAAATAAAAAATTTTTTTTTTACCAGGAAAAAAAGATTTTTATTTACAATTATTTATTAAACTTTTAGTGAAATATTATATAATGAGTTATACGACTTGTGTACGTAGTATTGATTAAAATAAATAATGGATATTTTTTACAATCGGTATACAATCTACTTTATAATGGTATCGTACCTATGATAATAGTAGTTCGTATACAATGAATGCACGCATATATATACCTTGATATAAAAGTAAAGACTATAAGTTTCGCGGGATTTCTGCGCCGCAATACACTGCCATGTATATAGGTAATTCTAGGCTATTTCGATTGACTTGTAACCCTTAGGTTACGGATTTTTTTTTAATTTGGCACAATTGTTGTACACATAAAACTGAGATTTTTCCCAAATTTTGGAGACGATACATTAATTATATCAAAAGTTATTAACAATTAAAGAAAAATGATAAAACAATTTTCAAACAGCTATATTTTAAAAACTAATAAAGATATCGAAGTCGGATTTTTTTCAAAACACTTATAATGCCTTAAAATTTCGAAATAATTACAACAATAAACAATAAAAATTTTTTTTCGAAAGTTATTAACTTTTTGTTTAAACAATTGTTAATATCTCAAAAAGTATATTTTTTTTTGAAAAATTCTTGCTCCTACGTATTCCTGAGGATTTTTGCTATCGAAATCAATCATAAAATTCAAGGGCCCGACATATCGGAAAGCGTAGCCCTAATCAAAAGAAGACGCCTCGGCGTAAGGCTGCGGTAGCGCTCCAGCGGACTCACGGTCGAAAGGTACTTTAGCTTTAATCTAAAAAACTAATAAAGATACCGAATCGGAGTTTTCCCAAATTACTTATAATACCTTGAACTTTCGAAATAATTACAACAATAAACAATAAAAATTTTTTTTCGAAAGTTATTAACTTTTTGTTTAAACAATTGCTAATATCTCAAAAAGTATATTTTTTTTTTGAAAAATTCTTGCTCCTACGTATTCCTGAGGATTTTTGCTATCGAAATCAATCATAAAATTCAAGGGTCCGACATATCGGAAAGCGTAGCCCTAATTAAAAGAAGATGCCTCGGTGTCCGGTCGCTGAATTTTATAATTGATTTCGATAGCAAAAATCCTCAGGAATACGTAGGAGCAAGAATTTTTAAAAAAAAAATATACTTTTTGAGATATTAGCAATTGTTTAAACAAAAAGTTAATAACTTTCGAAAAAAAATTTTTATTGTTTATTGTTGTAATTATTTCGAAATTTTAAGGCATTATAAGTATTTTGAAAAAAATCCGACTTCGATATCTTTATTAGTTTTTAAAATATAGCTGTTTGAAAATTGTTTTATCATTTTTCTTTAATTGTTAATAACTTTTGATATAATTAATGTATCGTCTCCAAAATTTGGGAAAAATCTCAGTTTTATGTGTACAACAATTGTGCCAAATTAAAAAAAAATCCGTAACCTAAGGGTTACAAGTCAATCGAAATAGCCTAGAATTACCCATATGCGAAACAGTGTCTTGTGTTTACAAAAATTTTTCGTGACCATGGTTCGAGGAGAGTTACAAGTTTACTATAGTTTTCTTTTTTTGATGGGGTGGCCAAATTTATGTGAGCGGCAGTGTATATCAAGGTATATACGAGTATATGCGTGCATTCATTGTATACGAACTACTATTATCATAGGTACGATACCATTATAAAGTAGATTGTATACCGATTGTAAAAAATATCCATTATTTATTTTAATCAATACTACGTATATAAGTCGTATAACTCATTATATAATATTTCACTAAAAGTTTAATAAATAATTGTAAATAAAAATCTTTTTTTCCTGGTAAAAAAAAAATTTTTTTTTAAATTTGAATATTTTACGTTGAATTCGTATTCGTTGAGTAAAAACGCATAATTTTTGCTCTTATGATTTTTTTAGTTTGACTCATAGTTTTTGAGTTATGAGCTGTTGAAAGAAATTTTATTTTTTTTACATCAAATTAAAAAATTCCCTAAAATTAAATGAACCGAAATTTTGCATAGCCCATTTTAAAGAGGAGTACCATAGCTTGAACCTCCATTTTGGTTTTTTTTAATCCGATTATTTTTAACAAAGTTATGCCAATTTGAAAATTGACGAAAAAAATTGAAATTTTTTTTTTTCATTTGTTTATAAAAAATTAATTGAACATTATTTTTTGAAATATTTTCATCATATATTGAAGGGCTTGGTACAAGCTTCAAAACGTACTTTTAATTTTTTAGATCGGTTGATTCCTTATAAAGGTACAAAACTTCAAAGTTTGCCAGATTTTTGATGGGGTGGCCAAATTTATGTGAGCGTCAGTGTATATATATATACTAGGACATCATAGCGCGCTTCGCGCGCCTAAATGAAATTAATACTTACAAATTCATAAATAATAAAAAAATACATAAAGGGCGTTGGTTATCTTTAATAATTTATTTTGTGAATCATCATGATACTATAGTGAATATGTTTATTTATATAATTCAGTGTATACGTAGTTTTTCACTAAAGTATTTTGTCTTTGATTTCCTAAATAAATTTTCAATGAATCCCATGATCTAACTCTGGACATAGCAACGTAAAGCTGACCATGATTAAAAACATCTCTTCTAAGATCAATACCAATTTTTTGTAAAGTTTGTCCTTGAGATTTGTTGATCGTTATAGCAAAAGCTAATCGAATTGGAAATTGTCGTCTTTTGAAAGTAAATGGATATTGATTTTCATAATACAAAGTGATTCTATTGAGAAATACAACGTTATTGCTTTTGTCTCCTGTTAATATTTTACATTTTAATAAATGATTTGAGAAATCAATAATTTGTAGTCGTGTTCCATTACATAATCCTTCACTAAGACTTATATTTCGGACTAACATGACTATACAATATTTTCTTAAACGCAATTTGTGAGGAGGAAAGTTAGGTGGATTCAAAGTATTGAGATATTCTGGTAAAAGGATATCTTCCATTTCACCAACATCACAATTTTCTATACTATCGATCCCAGTGTAAATGCGTTCCGTGTTTTTGTCAAATAAATTTGTAATTCTATCATTCATGTCATCAACATCAACATTTCTTGCAGATAAAATTGCACAATTGCTAATTTCATTAAATTTTTTATCTTTGATTAACTGTCTAAAAATATTTTGAACAATACATTGATCGTAAGGTAATATACAGTGATTTGGTAGCTGTATATTATTATCTTGATCATTTAATGTTCCATTACCTACATGCAACAAATATCTAGCAAATTCTATTTCATTAGGTAAGACTCTCATGTTCGTTTTCAATTGATAGATTGAGAATAGAGACCACAAATGAGAGTTTTTTATAGATAAATTTAATATTTCGTTGAGCGTTCCATTAACTTTAATTGGAAGAAGTTGTCTAAAATCGCCTCCTAAAATGATTATTTTTCCTCCAAATGGTAAATCATTGTTCATGATATATTTCAATGTTCTATTAACGATTTCTAAAGCATATCGAGGTGCCATAGGTGCTTCGTCCCAAATAAATACTTTAGTATTTTTCAACAGTATTGTGACATCCGGGTCACTATCTCAGGTACGTCTGAGGTGGACGTAATCTCAGGCGCTCTATTTGGTTTGCGTGCGTACGCTTAAACCGGGACGAGCGATTGGAGAATTAGAGCTTTTCTACTTCGCGTTTCGCGTAAAAAGAGTGAAAAAATTAAACTGGACTACAAGCCTTCCATCAAACACCAGGGTCCAATGGAATCGGGACTTGGATGTGAAAATCCCAAACCTTGCCGGAATTATCACATAAAAGTATTTTATTTTAGTTTAACGGCGCGACTGTCTTATTGAAAAAGTATCCCAATTCCTGCTGAAATACTTTTTCGAAGACCTATTTTTCACGAGTTTCGATCAGCTACTCTAACAAGAAGAGGAAAAGGAGAGATAGTGAATAAAATTTTGTTTCAACTTACTTTTCTTTTATTTAGTTAACTGGTACTGGAGAAGTCAATCTGGACCTGGCACTTGGTCAATGAGATGCACTTAAAACCTTGTGTGGAGCGTGAGAGCGTGAGAGAGCGATTTTCGCTTGCGCATGCCCTTTTAAACCCTGGGGGTGGTTGGGAGGAAAATCCCTCTTTCAGTCCCTCGAAATTTGGGAAGAGTGGAAATGCCAGTGAATTCTAATTGGCCAACCGAGATTTTCCCTCCTTTTCTCTTTCGGATTTCGGGCCCTAATTGGTTCGGGGGCGTGGTGAGAATTGGGGGCGCGCGTTCAAGAGTTTGGGCCTTATCTCGCTAGATGACTCTCCAAGTACCATTTTTAGTACAGTTTCTCTTATAATTATTAAGTTATTTATTATATAAAATTATTACAATTAATTCTTAAAAATAACGTAAGTTCCTTATTATTTAACATATTTTACGCGAAAATCTGTTGATCCTACATGTTTACAATTAGTAACTTAATTAATTAACTCACTTCGTTGTTTAAATAAATTCGAACGAAAAAAAGGGTATTATTTAATTGTGGAATGTATAACTGATTTGCTAAAATTCGTTCAAGTAACTGTTTTCGACTATTTACCTCATTTTTCTAATTTGTAATTTAAAAACTTCGAGTTATTTTCAATGATTGCGCGGCAACTATGTTTCTAATCAAAAAGTGTGTGGGAGGTTTCAAGAAGCTGCGAAATTTTCCTATCATGCTGTTATTTTCCCGATTCATTTATGTAAAATTAGTTATTAAGGTTTTTTTATATAGCAAAAGTTTTGACTTCTAAAAGTGGAAATCTTTTGGGTGAAATCGAGTAACAGGATGCAGGTGGAATTCCGCGGCTCCTTTACTCTTTATCTAAACCTACTCAAAAACTTTATGATCGTGCGAGGTAAACATCGGAAAGCGCGCGATAAAGGGACGACTATTTTCACGTGTCCTCCAGCTGCTTCAGCTGAAGGCTCTCCTTCGCTAGTTTACCGAGTTAAAATTTAAGCTACACAAAAGTACATGAGGAAAAAAAAATTTATTTCTAATAAACGGCCCGACGTTACAGTATACCTTCCTTAGATTGTATTTTAATATTTGACGACGAATCATGGAACATCGGCACTGGTAAACCAAAAGTTTTATGAACTGTTTTTCCATTTGGCAGCAATGTAGCAGCAATGCCAGTGTATGCCATCGAATAACATTTTATATTCTGTGACATTAAAAGATTGTAAATGGTAGTGTAAATAAAAGTTTTTCCAGATCCCCCTTGTCCATCTATGTTGAAGCAATTTGAACCAGTATAATTATCAGAACGTGATGCTTGAAGAATGTTATCAACAACTAATTTCTGTTCGTCATTTAATTGCAGATATTGTTGATTGCCAATTTCATACTGATGATTTCTATCTTCATTCTCATTTTCAACGATATTTACAATGATGTTTTGATTCATTGTTGGAAAATCAGCTAAACTCTTTGCTTCCTTAATCAAAATATTATTTATTTCAGAATAAGCCATTTGATAGCTCACGTTCAATTCGTTATTACGTGAAAAATCTTCAGACATTGCATTTTTGAATGTATCCCATAATTTTTCCGGATAAACAAGCTGACAATGAATCAATATACGAACAAATAAAAGTCTAAGGCGCGTAGGCATCATCCATGTCTCTGCTTCTCTCATTGCTTTATTCCATTCTTCGTCATCTTCAATAATTCCTAATGCTAAGCAAGCTGCAGTAAATGAAGGGTACAATATGTTGTCAACAGTTTTTAAGTCGTTGTAACTTGTTGGATCTTTAACATGAAATAGTAATAGTCTTAAATGAAATAATTCTGTTTGTGTGGGGCTCACTGAATACATGCGACCTATACACTTGAAGTGTTTTTTTCTAGTGTCCCACAAAGAAGTAACTGTACCATTAATTTTGGTTTTCTTGTAAGTAAAATATTTTGGTATTTCATTGTAATAATATTGTCTGGCTGAAATATTATGAACATTTAACTTAAAGTAATCCAGTAACATACTACTTGAATTATTCAAACTTGCTAATAATGAAGCTTCATCTTCGTTTTGCACCATCAATATCGCTTGTTCATTAGGTAGATGTATTGGTAATCATGTAACGGTATGACTTTTGTCTTGCATTTTTTTACTAAAAATTCGATAGCACGCTTCAACTGGGCCAACATAACGTGTTTCAATGAAGTTATGACATTCGTCGTGCTCAATAGTGGGACCATTTTCTGCTTGTCCAATTACAACTGTTGCTGCATCGTGACCTTTGTATATATATTTGTATAAATATTTGACAGCTTTTATGCTTGATACAATTTCCACGTTAATATGACAATCGAAAAGCAATAATAATTCTCTACAATGTGGAACAACCCATCTATTATCTACTGTATGTCCATTAGAACGTTCGTACTGAACGCCGTCATCAGTTCGTCGATAATTTGAATACCCATTTGCATCCATAGTAGTTTCTTGTTGAAATGATTTCGGAAAATTTTTGGAGCATTTTCCATCTTTCATACACCAATCGCCACATGGTCCATGAATCATGTTCCTCATAACGATATCAAATAAGCGTGGATTTCTTATTTGGATAGGTATTTCAGCCGATATAAATTTATCAACAATGTCTGGTCTAATAATTTTGTATCCTTGTTCTAGTGTAATTGATAAATGTATATGTGGCAATCCTCTTTTCTGAAATTCAATGACATAAACGAAAGATGCAACTTTTCCGAAAAAACTCTTTTTGATAACGATGTCAAGTAAACGATCTTTTTTTAAATCGAAAACTCTTGCAACTAAATCTGGTCTGTCACAAGCCTGTTGTCCTGGTAACAAATTATCTGTTATTTCAGGCCAATTAGGATTACATGTCATTGTGAGAAAAATATCAGGTGATCCTGTTTCATTTACAATAGCCATTGCATCTTGGTAGCATTGTTGCATATATCGTGGTGATCCAGTAAATGATGAAGGAAGAATTATAGTTTTACCTACATGACCATTTACATCATTTGCACAATTCCTCATGTGGTCTTGCAAACCTTTATACGTATCAGCTCGTAATTCCTTTTGATGATGCTTGCAATATTGAATTCTATCTTTTTCAATTTTTACGTAACTATCTACAACGTATTGTTGGAATAGTCTTCGTCCTCTTATAATAGGATTGAATTCATTTGCTCTATCCGCTATTCTGTATCTAGTGTAATCTAAACGCGTAATCCTACGATTATGATTTATGCGAAACATGTTCTCATGCCAACCACGGGAACCGTGTGGGTAAAATAGAGGATAAATCCAAGGTTCAACATTTGGATCAAGGGAACTAACAAATTCTAATGATTTTGTTTTTATTTCTAATTGTAACATATGACTCAGGTATTTCTCCATCAGCAGTTGTTGAAAATATTGCAGCTACTTCATTCACTCGTTGAATATTGTATCTTCTACTATCTTGACCTGGTTTCAATGAAAAGAGTAATTGTAATTCTGAAGGTGACGAATCATTTCTAATGTTTGTTATCATTTGCTGTAGACGTATTTCTTCTTTCATCATTTCATAAGATTTAGCGTAAATGTTATTATTACGAATGATACTATCAAGAATTGACATCAATTCATAATCTATTGTAGGATTTTGTTGAATCCTATAATTTAAAGCTTCATGTTGATCAATTATAAAAAGTTGTCCATAGGAAGGCAAATCTCCATTGCTTAGATACAGAGCTGTATTCATCTGATAATATATTTGTCCCTGAATTTTAAAACAATACGGACCGGATCGTTGCGTTTGAAAATTGACTAAATTTGCATTAAATGAAGCAAAAGATAAAGAGTTATTGTAATTACGGATACGTTCAAAAAAACTTGATGATTTCTCATGTTCTTCTTTAAATAAATTTGAAAGTTCTGGCGGAAAATCTGGTAATGGATCCTGTGTTTTACAGAACCATGATGACAACAATCATTAAATGATAATCCTTTATTTGAAACTTTTTCATCTTTAAAATGTTTTGCTTTACAGTGTTGGCATAGAATATTCATTAGCCCTAGATAATCTGGTTCAACTGCAGGTTCTTGTACTGCACGATTATTATCGACAATATTTTGGCGAGCAACATGTCGTCTGCGACGTTGATCTTCTGCTCTTTGTAATCGTCTGATATTTTGAGAAATATCTTGTTCTTGTGCTGTATTTTTTCGTCTACCCATATTTTTTAATTTATGAAAAAAAAGAAAATGTTTTTAATGGAAAAAACTGTTTCGCAAAATGGAATTACTTTGATAAAAGAAAATATTTTCATCTAACAAAATTATATCCCGCAAAATTTAATTACTTTTTTTTTCTATTCGTTTTTTTCCTATAAAAATTGAATGCTTGGTAAGGGAAGCCAGTGTATTTGTAATTTTAATGGGTAAAAGTGATCAAGTGTTGTTTGACACAACTCAATGTCACGGGATTGTATCGTTTATTTTTGTTTGACTTAGGTGCTTAGATTTGGCTTGGATGCTTAGGCGCTTAGGCTTGGTTCGGTCATAGGTGCTTAGGCTTGGTTTGGCTTAGGTGCTTAGGCTTGGTTTGGCTTAGGCGTTTAGGCTTGGTTTGGCTTAGGCTTATTTTGGTTAATGTTCGGTTAGGTTAAGTTTCTTTTTGTTTATTTTTTACAATATGTAATACAAATTGAATTAATAATCAATATTTGACAATTTATTTATTTAACTGTTACTATAATTACTTTATTATTTATTACAAAAGTGCTGCTCAAATAGTAATAATACAATTACCATAACATTTCAATAAAATAAGTAATTTTTCAATTATCTGGACCCTGAAACAGAAAAAAGTTATAACAAATTATTAATTTATAACGTTCAAGTAACACACACACACCCACCCACACACACACACACACACACACACACACACACACACACACACACACACACACACACACACACACACACACACACACACACACACACACACACACACCACTTTATGCGGGTGTCAATTTGTGTGCGCGTGTACATGCTCCAAACGAAATTTGTGTGCTTATTCTTTTTCATATTTCACCATTATCGCGACAGGCACATACGTATTCGCTCCGTGCATAGTTCGGAATAAGACTGCTGCAATACCTGTGGCGCTTTCCGGCACTAAAAATTTGCCGAATGCATACAATTTTATTGCTAAAATAAACATGATTGAGTGTTTATAAATATAATTATGAATATTTTCATTGATGATTAGCTATTATAATGGTAAATAAATTGTTAATTATCAATTGTATCTCATAATTCGGACCATGATTCTAGGTTATATGACATTAAACCTTCGTTATTTCAATATTGTCGTTACGGATTACGCTTTCGATTGACGAAATATCTTAAATTTTTAGAAACGTAAGCTCTTACCCGAATTTTTTCATAGATTAAATTACAGATTTCAAATAAACTGCAAAAAATATATTCACTCCTATTCAATCCAATGTATTTTGCTAACCATTTGTTACGAGTTCGGCCATAGGCGGCGCTGCCTGTATACTATGCACGGAGTGAATACGACAATCGCTGACGTCAGCACGCAAATCGGCAACTTTCATTCCGAAGAATGTATATAAGGCGTGTGCAGAGCGAATCGTTCACGCAAAATCCGGACGACATTCTCTCGAAATCTTATCGTCGGGCAAAAGAGATTTGCATCACTCGGATGTAGTGAGTTTTACTCTCATCAAACTTGGCTTGCTATAACATTCGCTTTTATCAAACGAAAATACCACGCGAAATACCGGCAAACCGATGACGATTTTCGCTTGTATATTCAAATCTCTGATTCACCAGTTGATATCGTTATTTTTTTTTTCACTCGCGCTATTCTTTTTCATAAAATAGGTATTTTGGTTCACATTTGATCTCAGTTAAACATTAAATTATGAATCTATAATTTGAAATATGACTTTTTATTAGTAAATGTTCCATGCGTACTTTATATTACAAAATCAGATTTTCAACAAAACATTGCAACGGTAATCGATTCAATTAATCGAACCGTTCGCGATTCTGATTTTCGCGCGTTAGTTCTAAGTATTGAGAGAGAGAGGGGGCGCGCGATCTTTTGAATTAGCAGTTACGTCTCAGCTGTTGTTACGAGTAGATATCGCCGAAGTTTATTTGCACTGTTTTTTCTCGCCGACTAATAGTTTCTTATCCAGAATAATTACGCGCGTGAGTGCAACAACGTGATCTACGGATTGCAGCGTTACGGTAGCAGCAGATTTGCAGCTGATAGGCGGTACGAGGCAGCACAGCTGATAACCTAGGACCAGAAGCAGTTGATAATTTATTAACTTCAACAATTACGGTTGATCACCGTAATTGCACCGCAGGGTAGGTGCACCTCCCTTAATTATTGCGTGACAAAATACATTTAGTATTTTGGTTCAACCGTGTTAGCATTGATATTTTTTGTATTCGCGCCGAGCGTTAGATCGCGCCAATTTTCGTATCTTCTCTCTCTCTCTTTCTCACCGAAAGTTATTTAATTGTAAATCCTATTCGCGTGCGTCAGTCTTTCGGCCCGACAAAGACTGTAGAGATTCTTATTAATAAAATCTAATAAACTTATTCGCCGATTTCGTCATATGATTTTTCCTAGTAGTTTAAACAATTGAAAAAGGCTTAGGTTTTAATCCGATCATAGCTAGGGGATTAAGTGGATTAGGAGCAAAGTCGATTACACTTAAAACTTATCGTGTGTCACAAGGCACGTGACTTAAGGTGAGTTCAACTCTGCTTGATCGAAGACATCTAAGTTAAGGCAGCTGACGTTAAGGTGAATACACGTATTAACATACGTGTTAACGGAGCGGCGTTTGCTCTGCATCGTGGGAGTTTGCTCTTACATAAATTTCTCATTTTGCAGCTATCCCCCCCCGTTACAACATATATATTTTTCATAGCCCCTAAAATATTCAACAAATAAAATTATATCCTATGCCTGTCAGCCAAAACGGCGGGAAGTATAGACATTTGTTTTTTTTAATCCCAAAGACAGTTCAACGTTATTTTTTACAAATTCTGAATCGTTCACAAATAAAATCAATCGGATAATTGATAGATACCTATCTAAGCATGCATAAGAGTGATATTGTTATACTCATCATAAAGTTGTCTATGAAAATCAAAAAGAGTATTCTTGGATGATAATAAATTCTGCAATTGTGAAAAACTGTCTCTGGAAAACAAAACAAAATTAATTAAAATGTTGATAACTGTCACTTATTGAAAGAAAAAGTAAATTGTGTACATAAGTAGAGCATCAACTCAATTTCGATGAAACTCACCAATATGTAATATTATCAGTTTTCCATAATATTATCCGCTAATTTCTTGTAGTTTATTGGAATGTGTGCAAAATTGCATATTTTTCCTATGAGAACAAAATGCAACAAAGCACATGTTATTTATTATTATAGGTTATGATATTTCTCTTTATAATGGAAATAACCATTTTCTTACTTACGGTTTTTTATTTTTTTTATTTGCACACAATCAATATTATTGGATCTTTATGTGGATGTTGAAGAGAGGGCACGCTAAATGCCAATGAAATAACAACCAACAGATCGAGACTTCGCTTTATATCAATAGCCCAATAGCCCAATTTACTTATTTTTTTCTTGACTTGTATTTGCTTGCCTCCCACTAACTCTTAATTGACAGCTCGAGTGAAATGCAGATTTGAATTCTTGCTTGCTACTCGTATCTTGTAAGTTTCGGTTAAAACTGACGAAGATTCTTGAATACTCTTTGAACTCGCGTCGTCGAACGCCGAGCATGTAGAACAGTGTGAATATAAGGTAAGAAAAAATCCAACAGAATATCAATTTTTTCCGGACTTATGTAGTGCAAAAGTGAAACGAAAGGTAGCGCTAATTGTGCAAGGTACATGGATATCGCTATCCCTTAATCGATCATAGAAATGTCTATGCTATTTATGTAAAATTATCTATAATAAGAGTATGCAAGAGACAAATAAAACTTGATACGTATAACATGTATGTACATATAGTCGTGTTCTTTATGAAGAGTGAAATACAATATCGTTTGTGCTATTTTATAATTTCAATTCACGTATAAAAAGAGATAAGAAAGCTTTAGACAATAAATTAGTTCTTGCATGAAATTAAAGGAATAGTCAATGTATTTAAATTAGAAAAAATATTTGAATCGCAATTTCAACTGTTAATTTGCTAAGGAATAATATTTTAGAGTGTGATAGTTTATTTAAATGTTGACACAAAAACACACATAATGAAGTAGCACTTTATGACTATTTCTTTCAACAACAAAAATCTATTAAATTTTACTTTCACTGTACAAAAAATAACAGTCAATTCCAAGTCTAACTAATGTAAAACTATCATCACATTCTAAAATATTGTTTCCTTAGCAAATTAAAAGTTGAAATTGCGATTCAAATATTTTTTCTAATTTAAATACATTGATGATTCCTTTATTTTCATGCAAAAAACGATATAGTATTTGGCTCTTCACTTAACAAAATATTTATGAGATAAGAGGATCCATTCAATGATTTTTACAAAATATATATTTAAAACAATCCTTTATTGATGTATACACTCATTATTCGCAATAACATTACACACATTGTTACATTTATAAATATAAATACATTTTTGCATCTATGAGAGAGAGAGAGAGAGAGAGAGGGAGAGAGAGAGAGAGAGGGAGAGAGGGAGAGAGGGAGAGAGGGAGAGAGGGAGGGAGAGAGGGAGGGAGAGAGGGAGGGAGAGAGGGAGGGAGAGGGAGGGAGAGGGAGGGAGAGGGGAGAGAGAGGGAGAGGGGGAGGGAGAGGGAGGGAGAGGGGGAGAGGGGGGGAGAGAGGGAGAGTGGGGAGAGAGGGAGAGGGGGAGAGGGGGAGAGGGGGAGAGGGGGAGAGAGGGAGAGGGGGAGAGAGGGAGAGGGGGAGAGAGGGAGAGGGGGAGAGAGGGAGAGGGGGAGAGAGGGGGAGGGAGAGAGGGAGAGGGGGAGAGAGGGGGAGGGAGAGAGGGAGAGGGAGAGAGAGGGAGGTAAGAAAGCCAACCGTACTAAAAATTTTTAATAAGTAAAAATTAACACTTACAAACGATGCCTTCAACTTTTCCAATGTCATCAAATTGAATATCTGGTACGACTTCATTATTTTCAAGTTCAGCAATTTTTCTATCACCCAAATGAGTAATTACGGTTGTATCACGTATCAGTAATTCATAGGGCACAAGATTATTTGACTCCTTGAAAAATGATGAAACCGCCTTAACGTGGGCACCTTCGACATGAAGTATCTGTAATGTAATATGAAATGATATATAAGAAATTTGTTTGAGAAAATATAAAATAAATAAAATAAGAGTGCACTTACGCGACCAGAAGCTACTTGTCCGACAAATTTATTAATTAATACCTGGCCCCAAACCAGACACATTATCCTCCTGTGACTTCCATTGTTCAAGGCAAACTTGAACAATTCAAATTTTTTGGTAGCACCAACAGTTACAGGTGCATGAATTTCGTCGACAAAACCAAGAATCTCACTGTCAAAAAAAGACATTTTTTTCATTAATAAAAAAATATGAAAATTTGAATTTCATCACAAATGTGTATATTAAAAATTGCTCACGCCGTCTCATCCTTATTCTTCAGCTCATCAAAGGCTACATCTGGGGACAATTCAAAATTATTATCTTCATTATCTTGATCTTGATTAATGAGGTTCCCATTTGCAGCTGCATTGTTTCTATTCGCTGCTTCATCTTGGTCAATGAGGTTCCCATTTGCTGCTGCAATGGTGATTGAAAGATTGGAATCGGATCACCTACCACTATACTTTGAATTAGGTTATGAGAAAGATGGACAGGAAATACCAGAGGAAGAAAGCAGGGTCAACGAAGAGGAAAAAATTTTCAGATGGAAGAACGATAGGAAGGAAGAGTATATTGAAGAAATGGAAGAGGGGGCGGATGCTAAGTTGGGGATGAGCACGGCGGAGAAGTGGAAGAAATTAATCGATAAAATGGAGGCGGTAAGTAAAAAACTAGGAATGTGCAAGAATAAGGGGAAGCAACGGAAAAGTGGAAAAGAAACTTGCAATAAAATATATGATGGTGAATATAAGCTGCAAAGAAAGATAGTTTGGAAATGTCTAAAAAGGTACTTAGTAGAGAAAGGGGAGACTGAGAAAGGTAGACTAAAGGAGGAAAGAAATAAATTGAAATGGATAATCAAAGAAAAGTGGAGGGAGCAGCAGAGAACAAGTGGAGAGAAGTGGAAATTAGCAGGAAGGGGGGATTTTTGGAAAGCACTGGCGGCATTTAGACCCAGAAGAACGAGAAGGGGTGAGGGTATTAAGAAGAGCGAATGGATTAGACACTTTAAACCTGAGGAGAAATTGGAAGAAGAAGTGATCTACAGAAATGGGGAGGAAGAAATGAAGTGGAAAGGAGCGAGGGACACGTTTGAAGGAGCAAGGAAGGAAGGCGCCAGTGAGAAGGAGGAACCGAAGGACTCATTGAACAGGGACATAACTAGGAAAGAGGTGGCTGACACAATAGGAAAGCTCAAGGACAACAAACCAGCAGGGGAGGACGGAATCACTGGGGAATTTTTCAAAAACCTCCCGGAAAAAGGGATAGACACGCTCACTGATATCCTTAGTGAATTATGGAGGGAAGGGGAAATCATAGAAGGTTGGAAAAAGGTAAGAATATTTCCGATTTATAAGGCAGGGGATGAGTCAAGAGCAGAAAGGTATCACTATTGGACGTTGGATATAAAATAATGGCTGGAATCATTGATACTCGGTTGAGGGCATGGATAGAGGAAAACAAAGTTCTGAAAGAGACACAGGCGGGATTTAGGAAAGGGAGGAGTACGAGAGACCATATCTTTGTCCTTAATAGTATAATAGGGAATAAATTAAAGAGAGAGGGGGGCAGATTATACTTGGCATTCGTGGACTTCAAACAAGCCTGGTGGATGCAATGCAATGGTGGACAGGGAAATCATGTTAGAGAAATTAGAAAGGAAGGGGATAAATGGCAGGATGCTGGAAATGATAAAAAGAATTTATAAAGAAACGAAGTGTGAGATAATCACTGGGGAGGGAATTTCAGATAGTTATAGAAGAAGAAGAGGGGTAAGACAAGGATAACCAGTTAGCCCCACAATTTTTGGTCTGTACTTGGATGACATAGACGAGGAATGAAGGAGGGTGACACAGTGATTGGGAATATTAAAATTTATGGACTGAAATTTGCGGACGACATTTTTATTGTCGCGGATACGCCAGAAGGGTTACAGGATATGCTTCGAAGTATGGAGAGGTACAGCGGGAAGAATGGAATGGAAGTTAACACCAAGAAGACCAAGGTGATGGTGTGCAGAAGAGGAGGGATTATTGGGAAGAATTTGTGCTGGAAATATGGGGGGGAGGAACTAGAAGTGGTCAAGGAATATAAATATTTGGGTTACTGGTTCACAGAGAGGGGAGGAAACGGAGCTCATACTAAATACATGGCGAAAAAGGCAAGGAAAGCTTTAGATGCAGCATGGGGGATCATGAAAAGGGCAAGACTAAGTTCTATAAAGAAGAGACTCCATTTGATGAAATCAGGGGGCTTATACGAAGCGGAAATATGGGGTTGGGATCAGCAAGAAGTAATGGAAAGGATTCAAGCGGAAATGGGAAAGATGATCTTAGGGATAAATAGGAACAGTCCTAACTACATATGGAGAATGGAGTTGGGACTAGGAAGCCTAAGGTTGGAGACGCTAAAGAGGGTGGGGAGCTACATAGCAAGGATAATGGGAATGGAAGAGAATAGACTACCTAAGATTTGTTTGAGAGAAGAATTAAGGGCCATAAGCATCAGAGAACCTACGAGATGGGGATGGGGTTGGGAAGAAGCGATGAGATCGGTAGGAGATGGAGTAACGTTGGCGGATACGTTGGAAAATATTGGCGTAACAGGAATTGCAAGACAACTGGAACAGGATTGATAAATCAGGATACTGGAAATACTACAGAACATGGAAGGTAGCGATCGGACTGGAAAATTATTGGCAGGAGAAGGGAACAGCGGGCTACCTGAAGGAGCAATGGGCAAGGATAAGATGTGGAAGCATTAGCTTGGAGGGAGAAAAAGGGTTTAATGATAGGGGATGTAGGCTATGTAAAGACGAAGAGGAAGACCTGCAACATATTTGGGTATGTCAAGAAGCGAGAAGGAAGATAAAGAAAGATTGGCTGGAAGCAATGGACAAATGGAGGGGGGACAGTAGAGGGGAGGCTTTAATTGAGAGACTGGAAAAGATTCTGAAGGGACCGATTGACAAAGGGACTTGTGAATACGCGAAGCAATTTGAGGAGCTGGTGCGGAAAAGGAAGGAACGATAACAGGGAGAAAGAAGAAGAGGGAAGTCGCAGGGCAACGGAAGGATGAAGATATAAGGAAGGAGGATTCAATGGAGGATGAAGCATGAAATACATTATATGAAAACTTTTGTAAACTTTTGTAAATTTTTTGTAATTATTATAATTTTGTAATTTATGTAATTTATGTAATTTTTGTAATTTTTGTAATTTCTGTAATTTTGGTAATTTTTGTAATTGCTGTAATTTTGTAATTTGTGTAAAAATTTCTGTAAGCTTTTGTATGTATGGGGATATTGTATGAGGGGGTAATGTAAAAAACTTAATGTTATACATTTCTGGAAATAAAATATATATATATATATACTATTTTATTCTATTGTTTTTTTGTTACGACTTAAATGCATCAAACTGTACAATTTCGTAAAACAAAAATACGATGGAAACTTTCTCTTCTCAAGGTTTCTTCAAATTCCAAGAGAAGCCAAGCTGATCAAATAGTCTGCGATTAGAAAATAGATATAAAAAATTTTACGACTTTGTTATGCGCGTCCATATGCTTAGGATCTCCTTGCACTAACAGCATGGGCTGCCGACGCCCAAACCTTATGCAGAACGCAGAAAAAAAAGAAAAAACTCCTCTTATGCGTTTTCCACAGAGTTTTCATTTTTCCGTTATATGAAATTTACAACAATGAAAATTAATTTTTCCATCTAGATCAATCTATTCCATAAGTTAATTTAGTCGTAATAAAATTAGAAAATTATTTTATTCTATTGAGTAGTTTTGTGCAATTAGATAAAAATTAAGTCGTATAATTTAAAATTTAAGTTACTTTTCATTTACGTTCTATTTTATTATTACTAAAATTAAGCGAAAACCGACGGAAACAAATCAATTTTTAAATTAGATTTTAAAAGATGTAAATAAATGACATTTGAGAGTTAAATATAACTCTCAGATTGTTATTTATATATATTAAAGAACTCATAATAGATAATAGTTAAGAAATAAAAATATATTAAGTCCTTGCACGCTGAAATTTAAATAATAGTACCTTTATACGCGATTTGGCATGAGTAACTCCATTTATCTTAAGAAATTTGTACACTTCCCTATTGCGAGAAAATTTCCACCAATCAGTTTTGAAGTTTTCATGCCCAAATCCTTCAGAGCCCCATGCGGCCTTATTTTGAAAGAGAGCGCATCCCGAGGGATTGTGCTAAGTAAGACGTGAAATGTTTGCCACTGCTACGCCACCCGCAGCAAGAAGTGCCACGCTCGCAGGACTCTCTCTCTCACTATAAGCCCAAGGATTCTTTTTTTTTTTGGAAACTTAGTTTTTAGTTTCAATTTGCAAGCGTGCAAGGCTCAAATTTTACAATTAGTTGAATTATTTTTTTAAAAGGACTCCATCTAAAATAAACAGTAAGTTTTATTTCAATTATTTATTTTCACATTTCTTTCTCTTTCTTAATTCATCTTCCCAATTCCGTATCGCTCGGTCCTCTCGTTGAAAAACGAGTTGGATAGACTTGATACATAGTTTAACGCTCAGAACTTGGATTAGGATCTTTATAAGTCTGAGTGGAATCTTTTATCAGGTATTCACTGAGCCTTCTGAAAAGATTGACGCTTGAATATTGGATTTTGGATTCAAGGAAAATAAGTATTTATTATATCAATAATAATCAACACCAATCTTTCCTTACCCGGGTAAAATCAGAAATCACAACCCAAAAAGGATAGAAAATTTTCCCGTCTCACAATTAGTAAGACATAGCATTATAATTAATCTTTTACTTTCAATAAAAGAAAGTTAATTAATATTATAGATTAACACATATAACTTCAAATTCCAAATATTTCAATACGTATTAAATTCATTAAATTAGCTTATTCAATTTTTCAAGAAATTGATATTAAATTCTGTGGTTTCATTTTCGCATGAAATATTGGCATCCAATATGTCATTATGCAAAAGTGGATAATAACTAAATCCAATAGAAATTATATTAGATTACTAGACATATGCTTTCAATCAGTACAGAACTTTTGATATTGATTTTAAATGAATTCTATTACATTTTTTATAAACTTGTAAACAAACTTTTTTGCAACAGTTTGTTATACAGTAACTCTGATTTATGTCTTTGTTATTAAAAAGAGGTAAACTAAGAACAGCTATAATCGATTGTCTTTTATAAAATGGAAATAAATAAGATATCAGGCTTTGAAAGATAGAATCAAGAAATTGAATACATGAAAAAATTCAGTAAAAATTCACCCATACGTTAGTGCGTTTAGTATGGAACATAAAATTTTGCTTCGATTTATTTATGCGAAATTAATATTTTTAGTTCTTATAAAAGAAATGAAGTTTATTAGAAGTCTAGGCTTTTAATAATATACATTCTAGAAATATACATTTTTCAATTATTGAAAGTGAGTAGGTAAACAAGGGTGGCATTAGCTCAGGGGGGTATCAGCTCACTGATAGTGAGTTGATTTCTCTGAGCTAATGCCCGTGCTTCTTCAGCTCAGCACTGTCAAGTCACCTCCCCTCCTCTTACGTGCTTCGGCATTGTCGACTCCCCCCCCCCCCTACTAAGCTGATGCTGTTCGGCACTGTCGACTCACCTCCCTCCCCCCCCCTACAGAGCTGATGCCCGTGCGTTCGCATGCTTTCCGTTCATGGTGTGTGTGTGTGTGCTTTAAATTTTTTAGACGTAATAAGGTAAATTTTTATCGATAAAAAACGAACAGACAGATCGGGGGATCGAACCCGCTTCCTTTGGATCCGCAGGCCGATGTTCTACCGTTAGAGCCACTGCCCCTACTATCCCGGACAGTTCTTATCGTGTATATTAGCTACACGATTGTTATAGGGTCCAAAAGCGCTAATATATAAAACTAAAAATGCTATTATATATATTTATTAAAATAAGTATAAAATGAATTTTTTTGCAGTTCAACGTGCATGTGTGTGTGTGTCTCAGCTACCGAACATGGTTTAATAAAAAAAAGTGCAAATACTCGTACTTGTAAGGGCCAAGATGAAAAAAATGCAACATAGAATCCTGCTTACTTTCTTTTATTTATAGCCTTCGTGGTTGTATAAATTGATACTATAAATATTGCTACTATAAATAGCACAGCGTAAGAATTATCGAATCATTCATAAACCAGTATTCCAATAAAATGGATCGCTACCCTCAAGAAAAGTACTCTCGTCTTCCACAGGAAGACCCGAACGAAAAGAAGAACAAAGAATCATCGACATGAAAACAAACTATTTTCAAATTTTCGAGCAATACTAATAATTTTCCTGGACAAAAAGGCTATCAGCAGTTTAATAACGAAAAGAAGGACCAATAATCATATGTACACATGTCATCATTATACA